GTCTATTGCGGTTTATTTCTTCCCGCAGACTTTCTCTTTCAATGTGAACTGCCCTTTCTAGTTCACTCATTCTTATGGACATCTGTTCATTTTGTTCTCCTAAACTGTCCACTATGTTGTTTAAGGCTTCTTCTAGTGCTGCCCCGTTATCCACGAGTGGCGTCATTAGTGGCGGTGCAACCCTGTCGGTCCCAGGTAGCTTCGTGCTGGTCGAGATTCGGGCCTTGACTCTCTGCCTCGACGTCTTTTCATTATCCACCTCAGGATCCGCCAATGCGTTGCCTAGCCCTCTGTTTCTACTCTCCCCAGTTTGCGGCTCTGAATTTGTCATAATCGCGAAGCCTCTCGACTGGCCCGGTGTGTTTACCTCTTTGCTTATCGTCCTCACCACACCAAATTTGTCCATGGTTCCAGTCTCTCTTCCGACGTATGCCTCATTCTCCTGGGTCGAACTATTGAGGCTTACTTGAGACCCAAAGTCCACTTGCTCTTCTTCGTCTTCCTCCTCCTGGGATTCACCTTCATTTCCTGCGCCCCCTCCTATGGTGAATGGAAAGATGTTTCCTAAGGTGTTCCTCATTCTTTCTGAGAACGATGATGACGTTGTTGGTTTCTCAGTTCCGCCTGCCATCATAGTGTTGTCTGTTGGAGATCTTCTAGTTGCCGCTATTTCAGTTGAGATGTCGGACAGTTCCGACATCTCCTCTCGATCTAATGTCCCGGTGGAAGTGGCAACATCATGGCCTTGTTCTACCGAAGTAGATTCACTCGCCAGCCTTCTGCCTCTCCCCTCCAGTCCATGTACTTCCTGGTTGTCGTTCATGGCATGGTCCGTATTGACCTCCACTTCTAACAGTTCTTTTCGCTCTTCTGAGGTCAGCTGACTCCTTGTTTTAACCATTCTGCCTGAAACCGTCTCCCCTTTGTCGGTCCGGGCTCGTTTGATCCAATCCACAAAAGGATCGGTCATTGTTCTTCTGTGCTTTTTAGGTATGAATTTCCTAGAGCTATTACTCCGTTTAGGTATCCTTGACTTGTCTAGACTCATTCTCAATTTGTAACTCCCTAATGCCTATACACTTAATTCGATTGCTTGTGACGTTATAGTTTGACTACCAATAATAATGACACAACACAATAAATTTCACAAGATTCTATAAAATAGTGCCCACGAATCCCTGTATGTTATCAGAGTACAGTTTGTATATAATTTATTCACACTAACCGATTATCGGTCGTAAGATTTGAGAACTAGCACAATATGATGTTATCAGTCAATTTAAAAGATAGTGTACTCACTACCCAATCAAGCACAGTTTATATTGATTTAAAACCAAAAACAAAAAAATAAATAATGACAGAATATGAATACGTCTATATAAAAAAACGTATGTGTATTGTACTTTTAGTCGGTCGCAGTACAATAGTCGAACTTGTTTTTTTTAACTGTTAAGGAAAAAGCTTTCCCTGCTTGGTGTTGCAATAAACAGACAAAACTTTCAAGGCAGTAATTTTCTCAAGTGGGCGTCTATTGCACCCACCGAGTACTGTGTTACCTATCTGCCTTTGGACTGCCCGAGCTAGACCTACTACAACCCTCAGGGCAGTCACTTTTCACAAAAACGTATCGGGTTTCAATCCACACCAATGAATTACGCTCTTTTTAGTTTAGACTTAGTGTCGCGAATATCCGAGTTCGGACCTGTTTTGTTTGTGGTCTTGTTTTTATTGAAAGGCAAATTACCAGTGCAGTCACTGATTCCTAGCCTGTCTGCTAATAACCTAATACATCTCACTGTAGTCTTTCTTCTGTTTACCTAAGTCTTTTAATAAAAAAATACCCCTCCGGATTGGCAAAAATAGGACCCTTCCGTACTAGCAAAATTTAGACCCCTCCGGATTGGGACCCCTCCGAATTAGTAAATATATATGACCCCTCCGGATTGGGAACCCTCTTGTCTGTGTTAGTAACTTTTCGGAGATTTCCTTCTTTCAACCTATACCCCTCCGGATACGTTCTCCGATGCAATTTTGCTTTTTCAATTAACTAGGAAGGGTATGTACTGCTTTCCTAGACCCTTCCAGATTGAATTTAAGCCTCTTATTTGACAATTCACGCTAACGGTGAAGGGTCTTATCGCTAGCCTAACTTCGGTTCGATTAAGGTTTTCCTGTGCCTTTAGCCTTCCCTTTTCGTCTAGAACAGCCTAAAGTTACTTTATTCAACCGCTATTAACTTTTGGTAGGGGTGTAAGGGCTTTTCTAAAAGAAATTTATAAAACGTGAAGGGTCTACCCTCCCAAATTGGTGAATTTGCTAAAAACAATCTCAAAAAATTTTCACGCTTACTTTTCCGAAAAACTTTTGTCACTATCAGTAAGCTCAGCTAATTTCTGTTCTATTGGTACCAAGATCAACTGGATATGTCCAGTAGTTCCAAAGTTATTAACCAAAACGTCTTTTTTCTAAAGTCAAGAAATTTCTCTCTTATAGGTTCCGCCTAACTTTTTCCGCAATTCTGTTCCTTTCGACCTAAAAGCTATTGATCCGAGCTCAGAAGGCCTATACTCTTCTAGTTCAATGCAAAAGAACCGATCTAAAACGCTTTAGTTGAAAAAATTTGCGAAAAACTATGCTACCTGTACCCCTCCGGATTGATGAATCCACCAAATCAAACACGTTAGGTTCGATTTCTCTGCAACCCGGAAGGCTTTCGGGAAGCGGGTTTTAAAACTTGTAGATTCACTAGTGGACGTTGTCCGAACAACTATTTTCACTGTTCTAACTCAAAGATTTTTCTGAATTTATAGTGTTTCCTTTTCTCAAAATCACGAAAATTCGGTTTTTGGTTCCAAAATAGTTCCAACCACTTTCGAACTAAACTTAACCGGTTCTATCTATTATGGTAGTGCAGTTACGATGTAACACACTTATTTAGCGCTTTTTTCCGTTTCAATAAATATCGACATCTCAAAAATCGCGACTTGTGGGGGGATCAAAATATCGCTATTTTGACCCTAAAAACCGGTCTGCTTTCTGTGTTTTTCACTGAAAAACGGTATAGTTTTTCACTGAAAAACGCAGTGAAGAGGTATTACAGAACGTTACTGCTTTCTGTGTTTTTCACTGAAAAACGGTATAAGAGTATTAATATAGGCTATATAAGTAATAATATTAGTAATACTATACTCCTCCGGATTTGTTTAATATCCGAATTAAGGTGCTTAACTCGGATATTCGCAGTTCGGTGAAGGGTCACTACAGTGCAGCACTGTCGAGCCCCCCACAGATTACTATCTTACTTTTTGTACCAAAAGGGATACAAAACTTGTTAACGATACCCAACAGTCGATTGTTGTTGTCCTTGAGCCCCTTTTTGTTGCTCCTTGTACTGCTTGCCGGATCAGTCTTCTCCCAAGACCCTTCCGAATTGAGCGCAAGTCAGCTGATCCTTCCGGATTGAGCGCAATTTATCATTAACGTGCTTAAATGCTCAAATAACCCTACAGTACAAGCCTCACAAACGGGCTACAAAATTGATCGTAACAATCCTGACTGATATAAATGCCTGTAACAACAATATATCTATCAACAACAAACGGGAGGGTCGGATCACTTCTTGTCTTGGGGGATGATTTCTACTGATTTTTTACTTTTTACTGTTTTTGATTTTTTCGGTTATTTTTTATGTTTTTTGTTTTTCTTGGGTACTATACTACTTTTTGTTTGGTTTTATATATATCTTTAAGTGTTTTTGGTCACAAACCTCTCAGGGAACGACGGGACCGCGAATCCCCCCACCCTTCCTGGTTCGTGAATTTTCGGTCTTAACTAGGTTAAAAAGCTATTCACGATAATCCGGAAGGCTTCCGCGTTCCGAACTACCCTTCCGCCCCGGCGGTTTAGGCCTATTAAGGGTGTTAATGTGAGCATCCGCTCGGCGCGGAGTGCTCGACTTGAAAAATGGGAAGATGTCCTTCCTCAAGCCCTAGCATCCATCCGAACGTTAGTATGTTCAGCTACCACCGAAACACCTCATTCACGTTTATTTCGCTTTGACAGGCGTGGCAGTGCTGGTTTCTCATTTCTGTCTTGGTTATCATCAGGCCGCGATGCTTATTTGAAAAAGTTTGTCCGCAACAAGGACGATCCATTAGTGACTCCAGTTAGCATTGAACAGGTAATTAACCCTTTTTATGCCAGAGTACGATTTCCTTACGGAAGGACTGATACAGTATCTACTTCTTCGTTGGCCCCTGGAGTGGGTGTTCCTCCGGTACAAGATGAGTCACGTATGCCTGCTATTGGTTCTCAAGTCTCCGAACCTTTAGATCAACCGGTGGAAGTAGATGGTGAACAAATGGATATTAATGAGCCGAACCCTCCAAATGAAGTATCTGATACAAACACGTCTGAACCCACGGGAACGACCGGGGAATTCGATGAAACAATCAACAGTCAAAAAAGCGATGTGCGAGTACCAAGCGAGCAAGTTGGCCGAAGAACAAGTTGTCGGAATAGCAAACAAACTCAATTTTATGGCTCCACAGTTGGGAGCTCAGAGATAAATGGAAAACGCGAAGATGATGAAATTGTATGGAGTTATGAATGAATTTTCTTTTGGCGGGGATGAAGGTTATATATTTGTTATATGTTAATGTTGATTTCAGATATTGTTGAATAAAAGCTTTATAAAGAAGCGGCGTTTCCTCCAACAGTCTTCTTAGTGACGAGAATGAATACGCGGTTGTCTAATTACAGACCACACTCCAAATTCGATAGGGCGTGAAGACAACCGAAGTCGCCCGGAGTTGAAATTTCGAATCGCTTGGAGTTGTACAAATATACTCATTGCACCTACAGTAAACCGAACCTTTTTAACGGATACTCCATCATTATGTCGGAGGACGGAACACAACAAGGTGATCCCGAGTCCCCACCGCTTTCTGCCGAACCCAAACAGAGCAAAGTAATCAGAAGGTTAAACTTATTAAATAAACTTATTAAATAGTGAATTGATTGAAAGACCGGGTAACTGGATTGGATAGCCCTTAAAATTAAGGGATTTCAGAGACCGGCACTGAATGTGTCTCATTGGCCCGAGTTCACTGAACAACACCATCAAGCTTATTCCGTACCAGGAGCGAAAGCAGTTTTTCGGTAGAAGCTACACAATCTCAGGATTAAGCCTCAACGAAAAAGCGAAGAACAAGTTGAAGATCCTACAAAAACTGTTGGAGCAAGGAACGCTTCGAAGAGTTCGTAAAATAGTTCTTTGGCACGACACCATAAATAAATCTATTTCTCCCAATCGTAGCAACAACAACAAACCTTGTAGTATCCCTGAACATATCAACACCCTATTGAAACTTCGTCCACGAATTGCAGGAATTGTATCCTGCCAACGAGCTGGAACAAAGAATATTCTTAAAGATCCAAAAAAAAGACATCAATCCCTGTCATCGATGTGAAATCGAAACTACTCGGATGTGAAATTGAAACTACTAATATAGTTGTGCAAAAACTGTGTTGACGATGGCAAGAGATGTCTCAAAGAAGGAAGTGAAACCTTAAGATTACCCCCAGAAATTGGAAAGAAATTAAATGATATAGAGGCGAAGTTGATTGACAGCAAGAAAACTTCAGCCAACCTAAGTGCCATGCTGGAAAAAGAAATCTCGAAGCTAAAATCGAGCTTTTTGAAATTAAATTTGAGTTGAAAATGAATGCTGTTCTGGATAATTGTAACAGTCGCCTACTTCGGTCACATATGAGGCTTAAGAAGAATAGGCCCTATAACCATTGGCTCAAGAGTCAGGGACACTATCTCTCGTGTTTTTCTACCTCAAAATGGTCGGAGCCAATTCGGTTTGCTTGCGACATGAGACTAAAAACCCGTTACAGCTTAAAAGCCACTACCAAAATACCCCCCACTCTAGAAAATAAGAACGTCCCTATACTTAGGTCTCAAAATACCCAAAATACACGAACGCCATTAAAAACAGGCTCAGAACAATCCGCACACTCACTTTTTTTTAGACAGTGAAACTTTGATCCGTTTCAGATGGATCAACCTAAAACTCGCCTTATCTCATCATAACAATCATAAAACACACTCAAGAGAACTAAATTGAGAATTCACATGTCGGCACATTTTAGGAATTAGAGGTAACTAAATTAATGAGCAATTCGAGAATTAAGTTTGATAACTTGAGAAGTATAATACTAATTAGTTTTAATAAGGAAAACAAGTTTTGACTCTAGTAATTAAGATTTGGTCTGAACCATTGGGATACCCCAGCTGTCCACCTTTCCACTGAGGGTTCACTCCAGTTCAGCTCGAATAATCGTGATCTTCTTTCGCAATCGTTTCTTTTCCTATTTCAGGATAAGACGGCTCTACTCGCGTTTATTTCGTATCTGGAAATTGCGAATAGCAATTTCCCGCTGCTTTTTTCGGTACTTTCTCGCGATTGTAAATCAGATGTTCTGATCTTATTTTTCTGATATTTTCAGTTGTCGCGAGGAAATTGAGCATGACAGGCTCCATTCGAAATTTTGAAAAATTAAATTTCCTACCAAAATTGCGTGTTTCGTGTTCCTCAAGGTCAAACTTCCAAATATGACCGACTGGCACATACTCCCCGGACACGAGATCGATGACCTCATCGCGTGTTGCCGCCTGCCAGTGAGTCCCCAGAATACCGAGTGTTGCTCAAGATATAGTGCCAGTGGTCATTTACAGAAGATTGCAGCAGACTTATGTTTATCTACATCCCAAATTCACCCTTCGAAGTGCTAGGACCTGATGAATTTGACACCGTGATCTGTCTTAGTAGCGCCTCCTCATCATCAGAACTCATCACAATTTCTTCCCATGCTCTCAATTGTTCGTATGATTGCATCCACTCCCTCTGCTCTTGCAACCTCGCTGCCTGATTCGGTAAACCTTTCGTTTTCAATTCCCTGTTCTCATTTTCTTGGCTTGAGTCGTCCATGAGTTTATCTTGATATCGCAGGTGTGGAAATAGACCGCCGCCGTATATCCAATGAACAAGGGATCCCAACCATCGGTGAAATCCTTTTGCTGTTTCTCCACCGTAGCTTTCGCGAATAGGGTTGGCACTACCAGGGGGCTGTTCATCCCCAGGGCCATTCTCCTGACTGTTGGGAACTCAGGAATGGTCGCGGGTAAGACTTCCTTCTCCAGTATTGCCTCCAGCTCCTTTTTTTACCAAATCAAATCTCTTTTTCCACGCGCGGATTCTCAAGATATCTTGTCCGTTCGCCGTCAGGGGATTCAGGTTCCAAAACTTGGGATACGTCTCTATGGGGCCTTCACGTTTTCCCCCCATCCTGCACTGCAGTTGCCCCCGGAAATTGAATACTACCAACTCGGGATCTTTCACCTTCCCGAAGAGCACTGTGTTACTCATCCGCGCCCTGAGCACCTCTTGTTGACACCAGTTCAGCGCCGTCCCATCCAACACGCTTATTAAACTCACGTGCACTACTGAATGGCGGTATGCAGCCACTAGAGGGTCCGGAAAGGCGTATGTCATCGCTGGGCCGTAGATACAAGTCACAACTTCCTCTAGTCCCCTGATCATTCTCACCGGGTCTGACCTCATCGCCAGGCATAGATCCGTCAGTAGAGGGATACCACCATTCGCCTCCCTCCATTCCTCTCTTGTCTTCGGGTTCTTCTCTTGACCGGTCATGTGTCGGTTCTGCATCAGTAGTTATTCCACCAGCAACGTCTTCAGCCCCGCCGTGCACTTGTATGAATAAGTGTCTATGCTCGAGTGGGTTTTTCCCATCGACAAGGACTCTCCATATTTCATCAACCGATGGAATGGCACCAATTCGCCATGAGTTAGGAGCACCAGCGCCAGATATCCATCAATCCGAAGTGTCTCCACACCCCGGCTGAACAAATACGCTGGTCCCATGTTAAACAGGTATCTCGGGTAAACTAAGTACAGGGCTAACAAGAGGCTTATGGGCATGTTCAAGAGCTCTTGCACGAAGGCCCGGAAAATGGTCTCTTTTGCACAAAACACTCCAGCCATGTATCTCTTCTCCCAACAAGGACTCAAGAATTCCAGTATCTCGTGATCTCTCCTGGTCCTCAGCTCACCTTTTGCATGCTCCCGCCAGAACTCTCCAATGGTGACCCTATTAGCTGCCGTGACAAACCTGGCCACCGTCACCTCCCTGCTCTCGGCTATCTCCAATTGTTCCTCGAGAAATTCCCAAATCTGCTTCACGAGAGGTGGGGCACTCTCCCTTGTCTTGTCAGTAGCATTCTCGAGTCTGGGTGTCAAAAACGGCCACCTACCTCTCTCTTGCGTTAGTCGATACACCATCGACTCCAGTTGCTTCTCAATCGCAGCCACGTTCTTCCTTTCGTTGCTTGGTCCCTTTGATTTGCTCGTGGAACTCGTGATGGTCACGTCCATATATCGGAACCACAAGCTGGCTGTAAGGTGACTTATTATCGGGTGGTCATCCCCTATTGTCAGAATGAATTTTAGCTGCCTGGCAAAGTTCGAGATCTCGAGTAAGAGGACCTCGTCCAGCACAATGAGTATATCTGCTAACTCATAGAATCCCCTCAAGGCATGGGATACGTCCGCCCACGCCGCCGCCAGTTCTGACTTTCGTAATCTCAAGTTCGTAGGTTCCAGCTCTCGGTTGGGAGCTGCCAACAGGATCCGCCATGCGCTCCCTTCAGCTATCAGAATCAAAATAGCATACACAAACTGCAGAGCAGGGGGCATGCTTGCGTATCCGGGTGATGTCGTGAATACCACCTTCGTTTTGGATCCAAATCGCAAACTGACGTTTTCCTGCACCTCATTCATTGCGGCAAACAGCGTCTGTATGGCCTCCCATATCTTCTTTGGCGTAGGCTTGTCCCCCTTCAGCTGCTCTAGAAGCCCAGACGCATGCAGGTGATCATTCATTCCCGCGAACAGCAGCAGCTCTGGTTCGCAAGGCATTTCCGACTTTATCGCCACCACCAAGGTCAACATCTGCTTCAATTCTGCACCCGGCAGCGAGTATACTAGAGTTTCTGGCCAAAATAACTTGGGAGATGTTCCTTTGAAGTCCGATCCCGTCACAATGATCACTCTCGCGGCCGCTGGATCTGCTCTGTCATACACCGCCAGTGTCTTGGCTAATTGAGCACTGCCGCAGGGTTTCCCATATGTTGGGTCATCTGCCAACTTCGCACCCTCGTTGGCGGCGTCTGGCAATTCCATCTCCCTTGGCTCCAGTAGCTTGTCCACCACCCTCAACTGTGCAGGAGTCGCCAATCTGATTCTGGCGATACTTGTTCTGTGTTTAGGTGGCTCCACTATGAGTCCCGGACTCCCCAGCAACTTGAGAGGTCTGTTATTTATCGGTCCCATGACTGATTTCGTGGGAATCCCAGTCAGATCAGCCGTCTTCATCATTCTTGCTCTTGAGAAATGTGCTTCGTGGGCCTTCAGCCAGTCTACGCACTGGTGTCGACTCCAGTCCTCTTGTGACACATGCTTGAGCCCCAGGACTTCTGCCAACTCTTGTCTGCATTCCAGATCCTCTAGGTCCAACTCCATCACCTTCTCCAAATACCGCGTCCTACTTGCCTCCGCTGTCTTCTCTACTCTCTTATCCTCCACCACTACCACTGAGGATACCACTCAACTCTGGGTCGTCGATGACTCCGCTTCTTCAGCTTCCATTGTCGTGGAACCCGGTAGTCTGGTCCGGCTGCTTCTCGAGCTGTCTCTTGAGTTTACTCCCGCTCCCAGGCGACTACACAAGGGTCTTGTGGCAAAGAAAGGGGGATTTGGGGGTGGACCGAATGTGACTCGGGCCGTCTCAAGCAAATCTGCCTCCAACTCATTTATATGCCTCTGGAAGACATCATTCAACCACTCCACGCCCCTAGGCCTGTCAAAGTGGATTCCATCTGAGGACGCATCCTCTGGGAAAGACTGCTCCATCTGGTCGGCTACG